TGGAGTCTCCTTCTTTGGAGATCTTTAAAACCCGCTTGGATGCAGCCCTGTGCCACGTGCTCTAGGTGACCCTGCGTGAGCAGGGGGGTTGGACTCGATGACCTCTGAGGTCCCTTCCAACCTTTGGCATTCTATGATTCTATGAACGAATCCGCTGGTTTCCCAGCACCAGCCAGGGGCACAGACCTTTCTGCAGAGGCACAGACCTTCCTCACAGACCCTCCCCTTCACCTACAGAGTCATCGTGGTTGAGTCAACCCCCTCAGCTCTTAATGTCTTTAAACCATGGTACTTACTTCTAGCACATGGGCATGAAGTCAATTCAGATGTAACCATGGCTCTGAGCTGGCACACGCTTAAGATATAAAAATGCTAAGAGAAAGTCTTCTTTGTCATCACAATCTTGATCAAAGAGAAAGATATCAATCAATTTGCAAATGGCAAGTACAATGTTACAGAAGGTAAAATTGTATTGAAATACCATTTTTTTCATACATGTCTGACCCAAGTAAATTTGGGTGGCACCTAATCTGGTTCATATTTAATGCAAAAAGTATGCCTGGAACATTTATTTCTGTATTGGTAGGATATAATTATCTCTGATAGAGAACAAGTTTATACAATGCTAAAATCCTGCTTTATTTCCTCTGTAAAATAACAAGTTTTGACATAAACACTATGTAAGTATCAGCATAGGGTTATGGCAGAAATACAGATATAAACTAAAAAGCAAGGGAGAAAAGTATAACAGAACTACCTTATTGTGATAATACAGGCCGACAAAATTGTAAGAGGTCATGAAACTACCTTTCTTGTCTGTGGAACAAAGCAGGGTCAGTAATGTTTTGCTGGTTTTGACTTAAAGGTTGCTTAGCACTTGTACATTCTTCATATGGCCAAACACTAAGAGTAGAGGCTATAATTTTAATTTTGTTTGTATGGAGCAGTACTGTGAAGGTTTTACATGAATGCTATAGCAATGTTAGAATAAGAAATCAAATTCAATGAAAGGTACATCTTTGATTTTTTTAATTTTCTAATAAATCTCTCCAGTATCTGCCCAAGTGAGCTTTGGAGCTGAAACACCAGTCCAAAAGCAATGACTTGCATAGATCAGATTACTCTTCCTTGCCAAACAAATCCTCCAGAAGAGTTAAGTATTTGATCCTTTTCACAGGAAGGGATGGTAGCTGTCCACTCCAGTCATCTTCATACTAAAATCAGTAACACAAATAATAGCTTAAAACATAATGTTGAAAACAGTAATAATTAAAACTACACAATAGTGATCTGCCTTATTTCCACATGGAATTCTTCTGTGCAATAGTTGACCTCTATTATCTGCAATAAAGCATATCTTCTTACAAGATTACTGCATACACATTTTTATCAATCCAGCAGATTATTTTACTAAGAAACACTATCACTAGCGTTTTTGCAAAAATGTTCAAACTAAATCCTGTATTGTTTTTGTCAAGGCACATATACATGTATGTCTAGTAAGTCTTGCAAGCTATCTATGACTCAACATTAAAAAGCACAGAAAATAATCAGACAGGAAGAAAGGAGAAAACAGTCTGTTGAGCAAGCACAACTCTGCTGCTGAAATCTGTCTGTCAAATATAGACATTGTACCCCAAAACTGTCGCTAGTAATTCATGCCAGGTCATGAACAGAATGGCAATTGGATTCTCAAGTTCAAAGATTCAAAAGTATTTAAATCTCTTCCTTTCTCCATTTCTTGTTGAGGCCTTCAATAAAATATTTTTGTGCAGCCTAAAACCTAGTCTAGGTTTTACAGATAACTAACAAAACAAAAAAGGGAAGAAAACTGAATAAACAATACTGCTACCAATTAGGTCACGCTCGATAGCTAGACAAGCCACATGACTGAAGAGGAAAAAGTCAAACATACTAACAGCAAATTCATCTGTGTTCTTTCATGCCAGCTTTTTGCTATGGAGCTTCAGGGCAAAACTGCTCAGGGCAGAGGCTCTGACTTACTTTTTTATTTTCCAGAAAAAATAATAATAATTATTTGAAGAAAACAGGTACAAACATGCAAAGACCAAAAAAAGGTTTTAACCTCGCTTAGATAAATCACTCATGTTACTATATTTGGCCAAATTATATCCCAGCAGCCTGGATATACTATTGCCTTTGATTCAAAAATATTCATTTTACCTTGAGTGGAACCTTTATTGTCTGGAAGGCAGGGATTTGATTCTCTCTCCAGTTCAGCCCATCCACAAGCTTCTTATACTCCACTTTCTCACGACCATCTTCAAATCTAAGCAAGATTTCCATATGATGGCACAAATTTAAATGGATTTTTTTTTTACAGAGTTGTATCATTTTCTCTCACATCATACTAATATATCATCTTTTGGATAATAATTTTTACACCAATAGAAACAAATACTGGCAAGAGTAAAAATGGAAACCCTGCAAAACCGATGGGACTTCTGCATTACACACTACATGTTCATATAAATACTTAATGTTGCATCTTATACTAAAATTCCATTTCTTTAAGAAACATATTAGATTTCAACTAATTTCATTTTACTTTTCAGTCATAGCCCAACCTTTTCTAACACTGCAATCTCCCAGTTGGTGAGAAACCTACAGAGCTGGGGATGCTCAATGTAGAACTCCTTTGCTTAGAAAGAAACTGGCTGAAGGATTTGGGAGAGCTGCATGGCAGCACAATTAACCCGGTATATTTGGCTTCTACAACCATTTCTTAAAAATACTCAATCCTTCAAAAACGCTGTTTGCATGAACCTTGAGAACGGTTTTCACTTGAAAAGTATACTGTTCGCTATTATTTAACAGCCAGATTATTGGACTAAATGTATAGGTTTGGATCAGTTATGAAGGTTCCCTGGAAGTGGGTGCGCTTATCTGGTGTCCAGTGTTAGACTCAATAATGACTTTCTGGGGGCAGAAAAATTCAGGCAAACAATTCTATCATATTCTGCTGAGACAAATACTATTTCATGTAGAGAAGGAAGATCAGCTACACACTATGGTCTTCAGGGAACAGGTATTTTAGAAAATTATTTTATGTTGTTCTAAATGAAATAACATTGCACAGAATATGCACCTCAGAACTCGTATGTTCACCGAGGTTTCTGGTAAAAAATTAAGCATAAATATACTGTAAGGGACAGTTTATAACACAAACTGGCATTACAATGCTGGAGAAAAAGGTAAATAAATCTAGAGACAAAATGAACTCTAACAAACTGCAACTCATCCTGTCTCTCATTCCCTCACACCTTTCATTTATTAGTCATCAGAAGAGCTATAACAAGATATACTGAGAGCAATAAACAGGGATGCTAGTGATAAATAAACATGTGAAGTACAGTGAGTTAGGCTGAAGATGAGAGCAAAGTCAGACCAAGAAAGCTACCAGGATTAAGTGAGAGTCCAAAACATTGCCAGGAGCAGCCTGCCTCATAGCCTGCAACTTCTTAGTATCTTACATGCAATTTAACATTTTCTTAAGAGACCGGCTTTTGTGGAATACATCCAATACACACAAAAATTACCATTCCTACTTCTAAGTGTTTTTCATTCATTCGTTTAGGGTTTGTTTGTTTGTTTTTGCAGAAGGAGAGTGCAGAGAGAAAGAGTTTTGCATTAGAAGTAAGTAGCTAGGCAATGAAAAAGATGGTGCTTCTTGGAAGCAAGCAGTGGCAGACACCTTCAGAAGGTCAGAACTGCTGTGACAGTCTTTTTGTAATACCATATACATGATAGAATCCATATCTTTAGAAAAATATTGGTTTGCCATTTTGCTTATATTTATGCTTTCATTAAACAGAATGTTTTAAAAACTGTTCCGTTCATGGAATATAATTGATCTTTCTCTAGTTTTGAAAGGATAAAAGTCCATTGCTGAGATGATACACATCTGCGAGGAGGATTTTTATAATAAGAACTAAGTGAAGGCAAGTAATTATTTAAACATAATTTGAAGCAATGAAGACAAAGTAAGCACCACTGCTGCTTTCAGCAAAGATTAACATGTAGTAAAGCCCCTTGATGGGACAGCACTAGCAATCTGAGACAGCAACGTAAACATGAAATAGTATCTTTAACTAAAATGAAAGCTTTCCATGTGGGCACCAGAACCACGACTTCTACATCCCATTTTTAAATACCTACAGATAGTATCTTAAAATATTATTCTGTGACAATCCAGACAAAGATTACTATGACTTAGATCTCTTTACTACTATTGCTTATTGTACTAACCTACTAAATGCAACATGCTTCTAATATGGCCCAGAGCATTGCATAAAATGAGGAGATGTTATCAATTTCTGCATTAGGACAGAGATACCATACAGTTCAAGGCTGGAGTTAATATGACTGAAAATGACAGCATTCACCATTCACTAAAGGAAATTAGTTTTGTCTTATCGAGAAGACGCCAACAAAGACCTCTTGAAATCATGGCTGTCCTCAGGTTTGCCCTCTGATCCCACCAATGCATGTGGTCCTGGACTACGGAAAAATCACTCCCCTTCCCAGGTTGCAGAGCTTTCTTTTCGCTTTGCCATTGCAGAAACAATATCACGTTTCTGCTTCTAAAAATAGAACCACAATAAAATACACCAGATTTGAAAAATTTGCTTAAGACACCTTATGACCATTCCTGAAGATGCTTTACTGAGTATATGTTGTTTTTAAACACCTTTTCATTCCATTCAAGAACCCTAAAAAACGTGACATGTAGGCAACATGGCAAAAATCATTAAAGAACAACCAGCCACAAACAGGGGAAAAGTTGAGCAGATGGAAACGTCTTGGCATGACCTAGTAGTAACATGACAAATGGGAAGAATTTGTGGCAGACCCGTTGTTAGAGGGCTCCTGTAGCTGAGACACCCACGATCAGCTTCTCAGGGCTTCTCCCTCACAGGCAGAAAGGGCTCTCCCATCCTCTGTTGATAGAATCCATATTTTTGTAAGTAGAGGCCTTTTGCAAGGAGGCCTAACGGCCTTTGATACTGGGGACAGGCTACATCTATTACCTGTTCCCTTTGACATGTCCAGCACGTCTATTCTAAAATCTTGCCTCTTTCTATAGACTAATAACATCTAGTCCAATGGCAAGAGCAAAATTCTTGCTATCCAAAATCACAAGTCCTTTCCTAGAGCTCAACAGCCTCACTTCAGTACAGTGGAGCTGTGAAGCATTTCTTACAGCAATAAAAGACATATTTGAAAAATAGAGATGGATGCTTCACAACTAAATTAATACATAAGCATCAACGTGTAATATCGCATACTTGTGATCACTCCTCCTTCACTCCATTTATTTCCTTCCTTATCTGCCAGCTGTTCGTATACCCACTAGGGAAAGGACAGCATCTTTTTAAGTCCTTGTTAGCACACACTTAGCTTTGCAGTAAATAAAAATAACAGCATAACAAAATGCTAAAATTCATTACTTAAGCACTTCAGCAAAAATGTTTATTAAACAAGCTATAATTGTTCATTATGCCTGCATAAATTTAAAGAAATGCTTCTAATAACTATTGCAGTTTTCTGGCAGAGACAAATGTGCGCCATCTGCATCGCCTAATACATTGTGATGAAAAAACTGCACTGCATTGTAATTAAAAAACTCTGAGTGAGACAAGGCTGATGGAGAAAGGGAATATTTTTTAATAGGCTAGCTCAAGTAAATTGAAAAAAAAATGGGCATATTTCTGAGCACTTGAATTCTAATACTGCAGAATCCCACAACATTGAAAAAGGTAAGTTTAATCTAGGCAGACCTTTTGAAACCAGGTCTTACTAAACCACTCTCCCCTTGTGCTACTTCCCCCTGCACTCTGTGGGACCCGCATGCTCACTGCATGGGGCAAATAAAAAAAAGCCTGGGTCATCTGGAGGCGACCCCCAAATCAGACGGTAACTTCTAGTTCCATCCCAAGCTTTTAATAAGGGACTGATTACTGTGCTGTAATCTTCAAATGTAAATAATTAGTATTCTAGGAGTATTACCTTTTAAAATGGAAAAACAGAACTGTTAAGTCCTACAGAAAGTCTTTGCCACCTAATCTTAGATAGTAAAGCTGAATAAACATATAGTTTCCATCTTCAGTCAGTATAATCTGATCACACTGTCTAATACTATTTTATAGCTGAATAGGGTCCAGACAGTGCATTAACTATAGACACTGATTCTGTGGGAATTGATCCAACAACTTTTATTGTATCATTCTCCTCCTTCATAAATCCAGATTCATACACTAAAATCACTACTGCTGTTTGCTTCAGAAACATCAATGGACACAAAATCACATAGCTCTTCCTCGAAAACCAGGGAAGGACTATTGTTGACAGGGAGGAATTTAGCACACACTGAACTCCCAAGCAGTGAGGCTGTTCTTCATCAGCAGTACCTGCCTGCTTCGTGATTCTTCAGTCTTGAGAAGAAGTAGGGAAAGCAGGAGGGAAGGAAAAATGCTACATCTCATTCATACAACTCTACTCTCATATTCCCACACTAATGGAAAGTAATTCCTGTCAAGGATAATTCAGGAAATATTCTTCTGTCTGCGCACCCTCAAGAAACCATGGCCTTACCAGCCAGGGACAACTGCACATATTAATAAGAACACATTTTTTCCCCTATTATCTGTAGTACTGTACATGTACTGCTACCTTGCAAAGCAGTTTGATACTGTAATACAAAACTGGCATGCTGCATAACACTGCATCATGTGGAGAACTTCTTCCACTGCATACATGGCCCAGCCTCATCCCATTTAACTTTCTTGTACCAAAACATGGAATATACGTCGCCCATAAATGCCTTGGAATCAAAGGGAAGAGGATGGTCATTCAGAAATGCAGCTCTTCAACAGGCTGAGGAGAAAACCCTCTCTCCTTCTCCATGGCCTATAGAAAGAACCTGGAGCATCTAAATCCTGGTTCAACTGTCATGAGCACTGGCCTAAATGCCCATGAACTGTTGTGAATCCAGGCCTAAGTCCCCTCCTTGCCTTATCTCTATTTTTTATTAGAGTGCACTGGCCTTTTTCTTTTTAACTATCTACTGAGCCTTTTTAAGAGAGGAGAGATTCATCTCACAAAATCTTTCCCTGGTATAAATTCACAAACAATAAATACGTCTCTGGAGCCTATGATGTGTCAGGACTGTCTGTTTTTCATCAGCACTGGGTTAGTACATAAAGGAAAACCTCCAGACTCTCATCTGGTTGCATCTATTCAATTTCAGTCTTTAAGAAGTGGAAACTATGAGAACTCCTTGTTCAATACTGTATGTCAATTGTCCTGCAGCACTTTTTGTGTTGGGCAGCTTAGTGGGAGTTCTAAAAAATGAGTTTTATATTAATGCTAAAATTTAGACAGGCTTCTGATCACTAAGGCTTGTAACCCAACTGTCAGAAGTGATGTAAGGCCAACCAGTTGCCTAACTCATCTATCTGGCTACCACAGGAAACTCAATGTTTTGAAAGTTTTGGATCTGAGGGGAACAGGGGCTTTGTAGAAAACAAACCCTTAGGCTCCTTACAGCAGTCTTATTGACACTGACTGAAGGAAGAAGTCTTGCTTGCAGCACGTAAATGCTTTATCAAAAGCATTCCATATTTCTCCTTGACTAGAGCCTTTCCATTATCTGATAAATCCAGAAGCTTGGTTTGAAATTCCTCCTGAAATCATGAAGCATGTCCACCTGAAAGCACCTAAATACAACAGATAACAAGACATGCTCTGCATTCTACACAATGTGAAGGCACCAGCAATATATTTAATGATACAGGAAAGAAGGGGTCGATGAGTATCTATTTAGACCTACTACCAGGAAAGTGAGTCATGAAAGCAAAACTCACCATGACAGGAGTGTTGAAAACACCCCAGGTTACTCTGAACTGTAACCTTTGATACGAGTGCATTGAATGCAAACTCCTCCACTTTTTCTCCCACTGACACAAGTATCAAAGACGACCTGCATGGATGGCAAGGAGCTCTTGGGAAAACTTAAAGAGAAAAAGAGAGGAATGTGCATAAAGTGGAAGAAGGACCAGACCACGTGTGAAGAATATAGAAACACTGCCAGAGAATGCAGGGAGGTGGTGAGGAAGGCCAAGGTCTGTTTGGAAGTAGTGTTAGGAAGAGATGTCTGGGACAACAGGAAGGGCCTTTGCAAATACATCAGTAGCAAGAGGAAAACTAGGGAAAACATGGGCCTGCTGCTGAACATGGTAGGTGCCTTCGCTAATTCCCACCAACTTAATTCCATAGAATTCAGGAAAAATCCAGATGATCTCTAAAGCCAGACAAAAGTAATATTCCTAAAATGGATATGCCTTAGTTAATTAAAAATATTCTATAAATAAGAAAATATGAAAAGAAGAAAAGAAGAAAAAGAAGAAAATATGCATGTGTATATGGACACAATGAGAATGATCTAATCATTAAAATTGTATAAATGATGAACTTGTACGAAATTTCTCTCCAGTGGATATTCAACAGCCTCCTTTCAGTAAGCATATGCTACATTGTATTCACTTACACCCAAGCACAGAGGTCATACAGTCATCTTTGCCTTACATGTTCAGCAAAGCTTGCAGAAGATCATCAGCCAGTGGCAACCTGAAGGACTTGCAAATAGTCCTGCACGTCTCATGGGGCAGCACTCCACATCTAAACAAACAGAAACAGATTTTCCAGGTTTATTCCAAACACATGCTGCTGTGAATAACAAAACATATTAAGTATATTGGGCTACAGGTAACGAAAGCTTGTTTTATGAAATTTCAGTGTTATAAATCTGAGAAACATAAAATTCATATGATAATCACTCTCAGAGATTCTAAAGGATCATCTAAAATTCTTAATATCTGTTCTATCAGACAACAAAAAGGATAAACAATTCATACCGAGGATGAAATACCTTTTTTTTCTTTAAAATCACTATTTTTCCTCTTTGATTTAAAATACTGTGATTTGTGACCAAGCATGTGATTATGTCACAGTATAATCTATATAGCAGCTATGATGGAAAGTCCACTTCCCACTTCTTGCCCACTTCCAAGTGCAGAGAGAGGCTAACATCAGAAATAAATGTCTTTTACTGTAATGTATCATTTGGTCAACAATAACCGGGAAGTAGATAGATTTCAAAGCAGAACTCTGCAAATCACAGCCTAGGTTTAACGCAGGAACCTTACTTTTCATGGTCATTGTATACAAACACAGCAGAGAGTTGTCCAAAATTCTCAAAACTCTTCTTCTTTAATTGTTCTTGAGCCACTGCAAGGAGGAAGTGGACATCCATCTCAGAGTCCTCCCTCAGGCTGTAACAGCGGCCAAGAGTCATAATCTCATGTTCTGACAGTGCTCCATTAGTGATATTCACTATCAAATTCCTGTCCACAAAAACAGCAGCAACCTACATTAGTATTAAGTAGAAGAATTAAAAGCAGTTAATAGGCACTAAATATCTGTGGAAGTAACTAGAAGGTAAAATGCTGTTGTTAAATGAACTCACTTAAATTAGAAATCCAGGTCTGTTCAAAAAGGTTTTCTGGAAACCACCCAACCTCTAAACTTTGAACGTTGTCCATGTTTTCTGTGTAGATGGTTCTATATACAACAAAAAAGTAATAGTCATATTTGAAGCCCATTACCTGCAAATGTCTTACTGGAACCAAATATCAGCACAGACTCCTTTTGTCACTGCATATATGCAGTAACACAGCCAATTATATAAGATACTATGCTATTTTACTCCTAATCATATTTTAATCATATTTTGCATTCTGCAGCATATGATTAGTTATCTGTAAACATGAAGCACGTACAGTAACTGCTGCATAAAATACAGACAGAATTTCCTAAGGCAGAGAGGAAGTGGGCCAGAAGCAGCCCACAAAGGAGAGAATATTAATCAAGTGCCAAGGCACACTTCATAGAGCACTGTGAAAGCTGGGCCTGGCAGCTTTCAGAAGAGAACTGGGGGAGAGAAGACAGGAACTGGACACAGACAGAGAAAGGCAGAAAATTGCACCCGAATTGCAATCACAAGCCCTCCTGGCAAGAAAGAAGGCCAGGAAGCAATGCCAAGACCAGCTAATGCTTGAAGAATCTCAGAGGGCAAGCGAATCCCATGCAAGGGCAGCCTGAGTACCAGCTCTCTTGAGATGCCTGCACTGCTAAAATCAGTCAGCCTAAAGAAAAGGAAATGTTCTGGGAATCTGTTTGAAGGGGCAGTGCTGACATTGAATGATATCAAGGGCTCCTCTTGATAGCAAGGACTTGTTGCTGTGCACAGCAGTGATTTTGGTGTTAGGTCCCTGAGAGCATCGGTGGAGGTATCAGCAAATGGATATACAAACTGTACAGGTTAGGAAACAGTACTCCTATTCATAATTCAGAATATTCTCTGTTTTGTAGAAGGGGGAGATGGAAGAAAGAAGACTGATTTTAAAGATGATATAATCTTTACAATAGGGAATGGGCCTAGCAAAGGCTGCCCAGTGAGATTGTGGAGTTTCCTTCTCTGGAGATCTTCCAAACCCGCCTGGATGCCGCCCTGTGCCCCGTGCTCTGGGTGTCCCTGCTGGAGGAGGGGGTTGGACTAGGTCATCCCTAAGAGGTCCCTTCCAACCTCAGCCACTCTGTGATTCTGTGATTCCTTACCGGAGAAGTCTGAGAGGGGGTCTGATCAATATATATGAATACATGAAGGGTGAATGTAGGGAGGAAGGGGCCAAGCTCTTCTCAGTGGTGGCCAGTGACAGGACAGGGGGCAATGGGCACAGGTTGAAACACAGGCAGTTCTGTCTCCATGTGAGGAGGAACTTCTTTCCTGTGAGAGTGCCAGAGCCCTGGCACAGGCTGCCCAGGGAGGCTGTGGAGTCTCCTTCTCTGGAGATCTTCCAAACCCACCTGGATGCCGCCCTGTGCCCCGTGCTCTGGGTGTCCCTGCTGGAGCAGGGGGTTGGACTGGATGGTCTCTAGAGGTCCCTTCCAACCTCAACCATTCTGGGATTCTGTTTGATCCTGTGAATACATCACCTTCAGTGATTAGAGAGCTCTGCATTTATGCTGGACATATGCACAACATGAGGAAAGAAAAGCATGCCATCAGTTAAGGCATGCAAGGAAAGGCAGGAAGCATACAGACCTCCTGGAAAAAGGTCTGAACTACAATTTACTCCAATTGTTACAAGACTTTTTTTGTCAAATTTGGTTTTATGTAATTATGCATGGCTTTATGTTTTCAAACATGCCTCTCTGCTGAATTTAACAGTATTTTTTTTTTTAATAGCAAGCATCAACAGAGGCCTTTTGCCTTAGCCAAAATCAGTTTAACTTTCTCTGACACTTCTGGGTAAACTGCACTAAAAATAATCTTCAACCTAATTGCTGAAGCAATTAGAACTGTACCTTGTGGCACCCTGGAGGGTAGTGCATCACTGCAACGATACCACACTCTTTGAAAACAAACGGAGTAAATTATTGTGATGCACAAATTTCTGACACAAGGCTCGAACTCTCAAGTTGGAGAAAACTTAAAATCTTGAATGCTTCTGAATAGGTCTGAATTAAAAGCACAGAAATTTAGTACCCCTCCAAAACACAAAATTCTACCAATGAACGTAACTTTTCACTAGTTTCTTCTCAGAGACTGGTGTGGTTCTGCTTAAAGATATTTATTTGTAGCCAAGAATATGATTACATTCACACAGCTATTCAGCAAAGGATGTTAAACACTATATAAAATCTACTTGTATTCAACTGCTGCCTTTCTCATATTAAAGAAATTAAAAAGATTCTTTATTTCCAGCAGATAAATGTAAGGAGGTGGTAAGTTGTTAAAAACACCAGAAAAAAAAAGACTTATTTGGTGATTAGACAAACTCAAATACCAAAAACTGATCCATCTATTAGCATTTTTATTACTTATCACCATTATTATACAATTACTGAATATTATTTTTTATATTATAGCAGTATTCAGAGACACAGTCAAATATGGAGCCTGTTTTGATGTATATTACCACAAACCTAAGTAGAAGACAGCACTGCCTGGTAAGACCAGCTTTCTAAACACTCAGCCTGCAAAGCTCAGAGCATGTAGATACCTTCACCCATGTGAATACTTTCACAGACTGGATTTCCACACATGACAGGAGCTCTTGCAGAGGCAGGGTTTTAAAATCTTGCATCCTCTCAAGTCACCAAAGCCCCAGATAAAATTATTGTCTCATTTGGTAATTACTCATTTGTCTTATTATTGCTAGAGACTGATGTCAGAGACCCAGGATTCATACACAGAATTCCATCTAAATTCCTCCTGAGGAAAAGAAACAAGGTGACACAGCTTTCCCCACTGCTTATCTTTTGTTCTACTTCTTTCTCATTCTAGTAGAATAAGAAAGATTGCAATCTGAATTTGTTAGAGAAAAAAAAAAGAAATAATAATTAATTGCTAAAGAGAGCTATTTCACAAGATGAATTAAAGATAGGCCTCTTTGCTAAACCTACCTGGTTCTTTGTCTCTAACAGCAAATTGAGCTTGTCAATATCCTATCAGAAAAAAACATTCAGGCAAGGACCATCTGATAGGCAGGCATGTAACTTTTACTTATTTCATTTTTCTCTTTAACAAACTTTCAGTATTTCTAATTGTTGCGCAGGGGATAACTTCAGTCTATGTCATGTGTTTAGTTCCTAGATGACTTGCTGTAAATTTGGGTTCTCAAGATGGGAACAAGTAAATTGTATAGCCATGATTATACTTTTCTACAACAGATTTATGGGTGTATCTTTAAAAATATAGCTTGTGTAAAATTATTTAAGTAGAAAGAAGAAATCTGAACAACAAAATTCAGATGACAGTATAGCTTTAGCTGTCTTTAAGATAAGAAAAAAGAATTATTTTGCTGGTTGAAGCTGTCACATAGATATTTGCATGTACTAAAAATCACAGATATTTGCATATACTAAAAATAACCATTTGTAGTTGATTATAATTGTAAACTGACACAACAGATTAAAAATAAGCAGTAATGTATAGAAGAAAATACAAAACAAAGATATAAGAAATATATAACAAAGTTATTAAATTATATGTATGTTATTAAATAATAGTTCTTACATATAAAATAGTTATATATAAAATAGTTATTATATATAAAATAGTTAGTTAAATCTGTGACTTTTCACAGAGGCAAAGAAATGTTCTCCTGCCTTTGTCATGAGAAAAAGATTTTTGTTAAAAAAATAATGTACATGGACAGAAATTAAAATGAATTTTAGATTATTAGGTATAATATGAATGAACAGGAAAAAAAAAAAAAAAAGCTATATACTATCTCTAGAAAACACAAAAGTAAAGCATTCCTAGAAGCCACTTTTTCCTCTGGCAGGACAGACACATTAGGTGTCACTGCAGAAGGCTCTTAGACCATCAGCAGGTGCTCAGATTTGTCCCTGGGAACAGTGGAACCTGAAAGCAAAGTCATGCTCTATGCATTTCTGGAGAATGTGCCTCTGCAAAATGGGAAAGAGCAAAACACAGCGTGTTACCTGAAGGAGTCGTACTCGATCACCTTGGTATGGTCAGGATCAGCGGCTGCAAACATCTGCTTGACCTCTCGGGAACAAGGCTCTGCTACAGCTTTCAGCTTCTTGAGGATGACACTGATATCAGCCATGGAGAACTTAAGGGAGGAAAGCAAGAAATACAGATCAGACAGAAAGGCAATATTCAATTCACGTACCAGCAAGAGGTGGGGAGACATAGGGCCATGATGAAATAAGCATTGCCACATTTCAAATTCACATCAATATTGGAGGGGAATCTGCTGCTGATAAAGATTTCTTCCTACTGAGAATATGAAAACTTAAACAAAAATAACCAGATCCTTCTCACAAAGCTTATTCCAGATACATAAAACCACATTCACTTTTGTTTCAAGCATTGTACTGTTAAAGCAGAAGTGGAAATACTTAAGACACAAATCTAATAAACTGGTCCTAGTGTTATCCCGCTGCATCTCCCTTAATCTTCTATTAATAAATTTCAGCAAATTAAAAATAATCTTTTTGCTCTATTCTGACGAACAAAAAGAAATACTCATTCATATTAGTCTTGGTTTTCTTACTCAGGATCAACAGATGAATATTTGTTAGAAACTAGTTTTTCCTGCCATGTAGGAAGACTTATTTCTTTCTCTGATTGCTTATTTCTTCATACCCAGGTCATTAAAATAAAATTGAATGCTGATAAACAGAACTGGAGCACTGAAGCTTCTATCCTACATTCAGGTTCTTGTGTCAGGGCTATTCCAGTGATTTATTTGCTGCACTCCTTCTAAACATAAAGCATCTATATCATGAGATAACATGTTAGCATAAAGCATCTATGTATTTACTCTTTAAATAGGGGCTGAGTCCGGGTTTGAACATCAGATATGCTCTCACATTGTGTTATGCTTAAGCTTGAGCTTGTAAAGTACATTGAACTTTCTGAAAATGTTTTTCTCTCATTTCTCCCAGTAAGCCATGGTTTTTGAATTAGCAAGTATTTGAAATTAGGTTTGATTGGTATTAAAGACCTAATCATTCCAAAGAATAGGTCTTACTCCTAGCTATGCTGAAGGCTGTCTATCCCATTGTATTAGTTCAAAATGATCTTGAAAAGGGTGTTTCACATCTCTCTCACACTGCCAGAACAATATCAACATCCTCAGATCTAGAGGAGGCAGCTGTTGCCCATGCAAAACTGCTCCAGGTTCAATGTCAGCATGCAGTGGCATGCAAGGCAAAGCCCTTGTTTTGGAGCAGCTTGACCAAAGCCACACGGCTGGCAATGTTCCCAGTTCTCTTCCAAAGCCATCACTGTGAGCACACATCCTTTTGCTGGAAAATAAATAAATAAATAAAGGGACAAAGAATGAGAAAAGTCTAGGCAGAAAGAAGCAACCAGCAGAGCATTTAAAGATGGATGAAATGTTCTACCTCTCTATAGTCTCCAAGCAGAGACTTTTATACCATTTTTTACCCTGCTTATTCCAGAAGTCTGCATAGACATCTAGTGCCTGAGCAGCAGGAGATAACCACCTACCCACTTTCACTCCCTCCCACATTATGCTTGTCATTCTAGCAGTAACAATCTGGTTTTGCTTGTCCTGCTTAGGTTCAAGCCAGTAGTTACTCTGTTGATCTCAGTGGAAGCAAAATCAACCTCTATGCCCATACAACAGAAGACCACAAAGCCTGTACAGGCACTTGGCTGTCACAGTGTTTTACATCAGCAGGCACTTTGCACCCCTTCCTTGTTATTCTGGAGATGGGGCACACAGGGAAACAAGAATCTCAGCTATCATCTTCTCTTTTCCCTGCCCATAAAAGGTCTGGACAAAATAAATACATAAAAAAGCAGAGTATCTTGTGGCTCTTGCAGCTTGTTAAACCTTCCCAGATACTTTCCCCAGTGCTGTTCTCAACATATGTAAAGAAAAGGGCAGCTCTGGATAATGTGTGAGCCAGAAAGGTCTGCTGAAAGCACAGGTCATGCTACAGGCCCACCACAAGCAATGAAGCATTTGCACTGACCCAAGACATTGAGGCCTCACAACACAGTCTAACCCACAGAATGATATTCATGGTCATGTCAAATCCAACAATTCCTTGATTCCTGATGCATTCCTAAGATGTGCCTCAGAATGACTAATTCAGAACTGCATATAACGGGAATTGCTAGGTATACCAGATTTCATTTATCCAAATATTTCAGCACAAGCTATATCTTAAAAAACATTGCATGAAAAGAACATCGACATTTCTTACCAAGGCAACAAAAAATCCCACAAAACACTATGTGAAGCTTCTTTCTGTGGTTCTGCATCTCCGTCTTCCTTCTTTTTCTGACTTCTGTGACAAAGTGCATTTCTTCCTATTGATTACTTCTACATTTTTAGCTAATGAAGGCAATTTTAGTACCCATTTGTGCATTAATTGGTATCATACAACACATATCACCAAAACCACTCTATGTCTCTATTAATTATTGCTCTTCCCTCTGAAGGCAAAAGTAAAAGACAGTGAAATACAGTACAAAGAATAAACCTGAATTTCTGTCTGTGGAATGAATTTCCAGTATCACAAATGATATGTTTTGACAGATAAATTGTTTATGAACACACATAAATCAAACCAAAAATGAAATAGCCTCAGTAGTAAGTAAGACTCTAAACTATATGTTCTCACACTTCAAGTACTGTGCACAACTCCGGTCTCTGCATTTCATAGTTGCCTTGCAAAGACAGACTTAAAAAGGCAAAGACTCTAATTTGGAAGGGATTAAGCTGAGTGGGGAATATGACCAGAGTTCACAACATTATGAAGGTGGTGCCTAAGCTGAATGGGAATCTTCACCAAACCCCACAAACACAATTTGGGTCACGAGTGGGAGGTAGGTTTGAAATGGATAAAAGACAATCCTTTTGTCAGATACTTCTTTGCATAGCAGTGAGTGGACTTGCCAACTTGCTGGCACAGAAAACTGTGAATGTAGAAAGTTCAAGAACAATAGGTCCATAAACAGTTTCTAGCAGGAACAGGCAAGGATATTACCTTTGAACAACCTCCAGTGTGAATGCTGAGGAAGTAGGAGGGAATGCACTATAGAAAGTCACCTAGTATCTCCTACATGGATTGCTAGAGAGAAAGCACTGGGCTCAGTGGACCATTCATCTGAGGCAGCGTGGCACCTCCTGTATTTTCAAGATTAATTGGACACTGGGATGAAGAAAAGAGGCATAATTGATTCTGAAAAAAAAAATACAATATAGCTAAGATACCGTTGTGGAAGGTAACAAAAAGTGCAAGAGAGAGTTTCACCTCATTTGCATGCTTCTCCATGTAGTTGAAAGCATATTCATCAGCATCCACCAAGAGAAAGTTGTGTCCATGGAAACAAACTCTGGCTCCAACAAACAGATTCTGCGCCTTGAAGTATTCAGATGGCTCGCTCTTGAAAAGCTCCTGCCCAGGCTTCTTAATGCGACTTCTTTCCAAGAACTTCCCTCCAAGTATCCCTATGGGAATTAAATTGTAAATAATTAATTATGGCTTCGCTTGGAAGAAATAAAAAAAAAAAGACACACATACAAAAGAAAACAACAACTCAAACCAGCTGGTTTGTATTTAAATATTAGTTTTCATCCTAAAGTTTCCTGTCTCTTAATATATTTCCCCCATCCTTCACATTGCTAAAAGAATAGTCTTTGCTAGTGCTCACAGCAACAGTTGCGTTATGCAAATTCTGTGACATGTCTCATTTGAATGCTTGCCAAACACCTTCCCTTTTTTTTTCCCTTTTCTTTAAAATGTGATGGAAATTTGCCTCTTCAAATGGTTCCCACAACCCTGTCGCCAGTCTTGAGACTGACCCTTGAGAGATGTAAGATGCAGGCAATTGGCCTCCCCCTGCTAAAGTAAAAAACAAAGCAACCAAACAAGCAAAGAAGGAAGCAAAAATAAAAGCCCCTCCTCTAACTCAGGATAAGACAGTCCTATTATGAACCTGATTTCTGATGCACAGTAATTCTAACTTGTTATTAAGGACTTTCGAATGTGAAAAATCAAGAGTGAGATGGCACTTGCTTCCACATACTGTTTTGGCAATGCAAATTAATTGTGATCTGTTATTTATTTTGTGAGTTTCATATGTCAGATTATTTCTTTTCATGTTATGATGCTTTTATTCATGTCACTGGAAACAGCACACACTGTTTAAGGGCTAATATAAGATATTAAAAGCAACATTTTCTTTCCATTAATATCTTACAGTGCATGACAGGGTTGCATCACACTTCCCAAATTTTCTAGAACAAGGTCTGTGAAGTGTTTTGTTTCATCAGGATATGTGCCCTACACCAGCCCTGAAGTGCCTGGTGTTCATTTCCTGTTTATATTTGAGCTTCCAAGCCAAAAGCCAGCAAGCATACTTTAGTAATGTTTAATGATGGCTTATATATTAGTTAGTGATATAAGTCCCATAAATGGCTGATGAGCAGTGTAATAAAATGCCATTTATGGTCAAAATTTAAACAAATGTGAAACCCAAACTGCTTATTAAACCAGAGTTTGGATCAGATGTCTTACTTAATTGCCTCACTAGCATCATAAAAGCAGAAGACAAAAAAATAAACTAAGGCAACGTTCAGGTCTAGATTAAATTCAAAAATGATTCAAATCACTAATGTAACTGTAATCTTAACACATTCCTTTTCACCTAGGTATTAAAGCAAATACAAAATTTTAGGTTATATAATCCTGGCAACTGTTTGTAATAATTAAGCTAAACTGGTCTCTGTAAGATTGGCACTTCACTCTCGGCTCTGTATTTTCCTGCCCTTGTGTAATATGACTGGAAACTTACCTTAATATCCCCGATAACTACTTCTTAAATGCTTTCAGTTAGTGTATTTCAAGTGCATTAACCAAACATACCTCATTAGGTTACAGAATTTACACTGAAATCTGATGAGAAATTTTGATGGCAATCTACAAGAGTGAGGCTTAAAGCACAAAATAAACACCCCAATCAAAGACCCGCTTCCATTAAGATCAGATCAGTCTTTGCATATGTTTGTACAGCTGTTAGCTTGGACTTGCACACAGCAAAATAAAGGGGTTAGGATCTCCTGCACGGGGAGCCAAAGTACTTATGTGTTGACCCCCCATCTCCACAAGTGCTTCAAGATGTCCAACCCTGTGCACTTCAAATCCAGTTCTGCAATGCTACTAAGAGCATAAAGTGCCTCCCTGCAACCTGAAGGCTCCAGTACTGAGAAAAGAGCAACTTCAGGTTTTAGGACTGAGACTTGAAGCTTTTTTACTTGACAATCTGTAAAAAAATCATTAAAACAAGAATCCATGCACAAAGAGAGATGCTGTTATTTTGGGAACCAGTTACTTTTTTTAACTCATCCCCTTTCCAAGATTTGTTCAACCTTACTTTTCTCATGCCCCATTCCTTTCAATACCACTTTCCTCCTCTTATAAGCTTCTTCTCTCATTCCCATTCTGACTGCCTTACCCAGTTTTCTCACCTCTCACACTTGACCTCTGCAAAGCCTTCTCATTCCTAGTCCCAGGGAAATTCACTCTCTTTTATGCTAGACGTGATTAAAAAGGAGCAAGGACAGAGGGAGAGCAGAAAAGGAGAGAAGAAAAGAAAGCAATGGAAGCAAATAAACTTCTGCAATCCCAGGTCTCTTTCCAACTTCTGCTCTAACCCCATAATTTTTATGTCTCATTCAGCCCCTGAAAGGCTGTTTTCTCCGAGCTCTGCAATGGCCAGGCCTTAGCCACATCCAATGATCTCTTTACTCTCCCTCCACTTCATCTTTCTACCATCTGTGAAAGATTTTAATGAAAGATCTCAGCTTCACCAACTTTAACACCCCTGAAAAAACTCATTTATTGATACTTGATTTTCACATATACTTTAAAGCCTTCATTACTCTTGCTGTGCAAACTTGCCCAGTTCAGTGTTTCATATTTTGGTGACTAGAAATACTTAATGGGACCCCAGCTGCAACACTGGCATGTATTTTCATTTGCAAATAAAAGGAAGCCAGGGAGTAATCTTTGGCCTCACAGCCAAATGCTACTGAGGGCCTGAAAAACTGACTACATCTGCACAGTGCTTGGCCCTGGTTCTGCTACGGGTGCTGTGTGATAAACCTGAGGATGTAACACACAGCTATTATTTTTTGTGCTAAAACTGCCTGAGGTACGTGAACGCTGTGCCACGTGCCCACCAAGAGGCGTTCTGCAGCATGAACCTGAAGGTATCTGCATTGCAACCACTGGGTCTGAGAATGACTCCCAAGTGCACAAAATGGGATGGTGTTAGAGGGCTGGTAAGGGCAAAGGAAGGTTAAGTATTCTCCAGTACAGGACCTGGACTCTCTGGGTCTTCTCTAGCTGGAACGGTCCAAAGCAGAACCAGATGGGAACTAACAATTAGACACTACAGATGACAGGGGTCCAAGATCCAAACTGTATCCTGAACTTCTTTAATCTAGTAGCGTAGATGTACCCGTTTATCTGCACATATTTATATGCACATACACCCATACACCGGTATGTCAAAGCAACATGCACCTTTGGGCAAGCAACTGTTATTTGAATGTCTCTCTATATATGAGCATTTACCTGTTGGTCATTCTAAAGAAGCTGTGTAAATTACTAACCACTGGATGCCAAGAAACTTGTTAAAATAATGAGGACAGGAGACTGCTCCCCTAAACAGTGCTAAATCTTTACATTGCAGTAGAGCAGGACCAACTGAGAACGCGCATGGAAGTCAAGGCAGATACTCTACACATTTCCAAAACATTTGAGCTGTTTATATATGTTTATATTGAAGTTGAGGGTAGGGTCCATATTCATCCTTTCAAAATATACTTTGATACAAACACAGATGCCATTAGGAATTCTTTGCATTTAAAAGGCTTGAGCCTTCCTATAAATGTACTGCACTTGAAATTAACTTAGTAGCATTACTGGCACAGAAGGACTGCTCTAACAATGCATAAGATGTAGATGTTCCTCACACCTTCAGTTTTTATAGATGTGATGTTCATCACATATCTGACGGATTCATTTCAGAAATCATTTTTAGCAACAATTCAGATAGTGGTTGCAAGGATACTAAGACCTTATCTGTAAGTTGAATGCAACTTAGAAAGTCAACTGCTGGCAAGAGCTGAAGGTCTCCAGATCCTGAACTAAAGAAGAATGAACAGTCCTCCCGAAAACAGTCATTGCTCCAGACATTGGCAGTATCAAAAAGGTCTGTTCCAAGCACTGCTCATTGTCATATTTGAATTACCGCACTAAGGCTTGATACCAAGAAGCTGGTAGAGGGCAAGTCATGCATTTCCAAAGAAGTAGTCACAAACTTCTACGAGAGCTCGACAATGTAGCTAGGGAAACCTCCTCTTTTTTTCTCTTATCTTTGAGACTATAATTTTCTAATTTTTCTCACCCCACAATTTTGTCTGAGAGTGACAGCAGGTTTTTGAAGAGTCACTCCTTTACACTCCAATGGTGCTAGAGCACTTCTGGGTGTGAATTGCTCTGAAGCTGCTGACCCAGATGTTTTATGCTCTTCAGAGAAATACATGAATATCTCTAAAAGGAATACGTTTAACCAAAGCTCCTCTACATCTTTGACTGACTACATAGCTTTCTGCTATTCTTCCTGCTACTGTATCCTTGCATCCATGCACCTGACACTGCAAGGAATTAAGAGACGCTTGGAAATCACAGAACCCCTCATATACTCAGCTAGAGTATATGCTCTATGAGCATATGAGCATATATGCTCTATGAGCATATGAGCATATGAGTATATGCTCATATACTGCTGCCTATGACAGCACTGACTGAAATAATTTAACCAGGAGAGCATTCAGGGACCGTGCTCCAACACCAGGATAAAGGTAATGAACAACAGAGCAGCAATAAAGTTTTTGCCACTAAACACTGGCAATCTAGCTCCTGAAATCCATACTAGTATTGCATACATATTCACACATATATATCCACACACATATTTGGGCAGACACTAACACAGAACACTCTTCACTCTTTACCAGCCCAAATATCTATTATTAGAGATATTGCATAATAGAAAATATCAAAGCTGTTTTGCTTTCATGAGATGCTTTTATACAATGATTGTTATATAGGTACCATAACACCATAACATGGTCTGCAAAATAAGTCTTACTCTTTCATGCTTAATGTCTTAAATTGCCTGTTCTTATTTAATGCCAGTTTCCACAGAATTCCTGTACTTAACCTAGAAAGACAAGCAAACGTTAAAAGGTCAAAATTGCATATTAAAGAGTAATAAAAATTCTAACATACTAAACTTCTACTTCCTAAAGGATGTTGTGAAGTGCTGTCATACAGTAAAAAGCTTTATGCTCTATGATGAAGATTATGATTTACTATGACAAACAACTCTCCAGCTAACAGAGAAGACCCATTGATGCAATTCCCTTTGCACTTAAAAGGCCACATCCCTGAGTCTAGCCTCAATGTTTTCTGTAAATTGTAATTAAACGGTCAGGAAAACTGGGACTGATCGCAAAATATTGCTACCTCTTACCTGTGTTTCGCTGCATAGGTTCAAAAACTGAAATGGTGTCATCACTCAGAAAATAGGATATAATGAATTTTCGCTCCTTGTCAATAGGGTTATCGGTAATAAGCTTTGCGAGAAAGCGCAGTATGTTGCTTTCCAGACCCTTTCTAAAAAAGCAAAAGCAGAGCAAAGAAACTAAGGAAATAAAAACAGTCTGAGGAAAGTTTCCACTGCTTAGAGATGCATTCTCCTGAGTTTTATAAAATATATTAATTATGTTATTCCTGGAATAAGAAGAGAAATAGGATAAGGTTCCTACTTTGTCAAAAATTATTCTGAGCTTAAATTAGCAGAACCAACCAGGTTCAGCCAGATAGAAAGAAATTATTTTGGGGAGAAAAGCACTTTTCTGCTACAAGCCTGGAATGAATTTGTATTCAAATTTAGTTGCAAATCAAACTCCCATTTTTGTTTCCAGAAAATGTATTAAGGAAAAGCATATCTAGATGTGTACATTTTCAAATCAAACTCTGAATAATAATACGTAATAGGATCATCTCCATGAAATTAGGTTCATCAGATGATTTTGCTAGCTGGTTATTTGCTAATTGTGTTTAAAATGATTTACAGCACCACTATATACACCAGCAATACATTGCCAAGTCTTTTTCTAATACCTCTATTCTTATATGGAGGTTTTACATTTGACAAGGCATGCCATAATGGAAATTAAAGGCTTAATTATTTAGTATTGCTACAGCAAATTCTGCATAAAAATCAACTGGCAAAAAAAAGTAAATTCCAAATATCAGCAATGGACTGCTGGAGTATTCAAAAGTACTGTTGAATAGGACTTCCACTGAAGACAGCAGAAGGAAAGGAGCCAGAGGACTAGGCAAGGGAGGAAAAATATTTGCCTTCTGAGAAGATAAATTTTGCTGAGATCAGAGAAAAGTGCAATATCATGTCACTAAATCAGTTCTTACACCCTTATATGTACGACTCTCTGATAAGAATCATACCACGCTGAGAAATGACATTCCAACTCCTTCACAAAAAGCAATGATCCAAAAGGTTGCAATGAATTATCACTAAAATACCTGTCTTTCTCCATGAATTTCTTGAAATCTTTCTGGGGAGGCTTGGGAAGCAGACCCAGGCAGGAGCACAGTGAATCCTCTTCAGAACCAAAGCCTGTATATGGTGGAAGCTTCTTTTCTATTTCTGGAGGTGGTGGAGCCTTATATGGAATGGGGGTAAAATCCGCTGTAACAAAGAGAGCGAGACTTATTTATTGTTGTTCTGATGAAGCCATTCCACTAAAGATTTCCATTTCCCATATGAATACATATTAGTCTAATTAGATAACAGAGCAAGACCAGCCAGAATCAAACTAGGCCCCTTCCTGCAGCTACAGTGTAGAAAGAAGGTTCCGAAGCAACCAACACCAAAATTATTGTCACATCAACGTTTGGGAATTTCATACATAACCTTAAACGTTTGACAAAAATCATTAAACATAGACTAAAAAAAAGACATATTTTCAAAATAGAAAAAAACTATAAATTAATTGTTCTAAAATAATGTTTCAGTTTTATCCTTTGAGATAACATCATTATGTAAATACATGGGTTATGACTTTCCTGACCTTTAATGTTTTGCCAAATCATCAAATATTCAATCAAATCAAATATGCAGATAAATAAAATTACATTCACGATAGAAAATCACAAAATCAGAGTTTTGAAAGTTAATGTAAATGTTGATAAGGTGCCAATTACTTCAGTCCAATCCCAATTAAATCTAAAGTTTTGGAAGTTTTCTTTTTACTCTTTTCCCTCCACTCTTTCCTCACAGTGCTGAATGGTCTTGACATATCCCAGATATATGGCAGCAGTGGCTGTCTCAGCAGGAACATCACCAGCCAGATACCTGTGCTCACTCGCAATATGTGTTACTAACATAAAACTTCACCAGAGCGATACAGTCTTCTGCCTAAATAAGGTCCAAGGAAAACAGAAAAGATGAGAGGAGAAAAGTGACCTATATAATGGGGAAAAAATGGGCAGAATTGAAGCTAATTAAGTGATAAATCTTAGGATTACAGGATAATTCATGTTGGATGGGACCTGAAGAGGTGTCTTCGTTGAATCTCCAACTCAGCACAGGGTCGGGTCTAGCTCAGATGAGGCCGTGCAGGGCTGCGTCCACTCAGACCTTTAAAATCTTTCAGGACGAAGCCTGCTCTCTGGCCAGGCAGGTCTCTCTGGAGAACCTGCTCCAGGGCCCATCCCAGTTCATGGGGATAAAGGTTTTACACTCGGCTCAGCGCCCTCTCCGCTGAGGTGGCCCCACTGCTCTCCTCCCCACAGAGGCCGAGCGGCCCCAGGCTCCAGCCTCTCTCCACAGGCTCCCTGCTCTGGCCCCACTGCTTCCCACCCTGACGGCCCCACGGGTGGTTGTGGCCCCAGGGTGGCTCTGAGGAACCCGGGCACAGGGAGACTGTCCCTGGCCTCGCAGGCAAGGACACAGGAGGCAAAGGGTAGAGGAAGACGCAGCGCGCGGCACAGCCCAGGAGCCAGGGAGAGGCAAAGCAGGCAGCGTCTACAACTGCACTCCACAAAATAAAGGTCTTTTCTTCCAAAAACTTTACTTTTCTTCCCAGAAGAAACACACGAATAACCTCCACTGTACAAATAGAAAGATAAGAATTGGTTTTACTTCCAAGTTCTTTTCTGAATAGCTTTTGTTCTTGAAATATTTTAAATTTGGGAATGTCAGAAGATCACAGTAACTTTTCTCCCCAAATCAGACCTGCCTAACAGCAATATGAGGTTCAAAAACTTAGAAAGAATTCAGATGTCAGAGTTCTCTTTACCTTAAATACATAATGCAAATTTCTTCAGCAGTTTTAATGAGAAAACTATTATATTTGAAGAGCTAATACATCCACTTGAAAAAAAGGAGTTTCTGCAAAACCGCACTATTTTTCTTTCCAAAAAAAGCCCTGCCCATGCCCATTCTGTAATTTAGAAGAAGCACAAATCCCAAGCCCATATACAAAAGGCAGCCCCCTGGGAAATTGCCAGTCATCTTCAGGGAGTCACAGAAAAAGTTGACATATAAACATGCAACAAAATATTACTTTCTGAAGACTGTCTGCAACAGAATTACATTCCAAAATATTTGCTGTGTGCTATGCTATATAACTTATATGTATAGTAAAAAAAAAAAAAAAAAGGAGGAAAAAAAAGAGAACGGGTATTGTGTAGATGTAGGTATTGATGGTATATGTTGAGTTGGTGTGTGGTGTACATGGAGTTACTGCACAACTACACCTACATTCACCAATAGAGAAAGAAATGCTGGTTTTGTAATACAGGTTTTCCTCAACAATGAAAAAAAAAACCACATACAGATGAGCAAACCCCTCTGAAAGAGGAAATCTTGAATCACAGCCTTCTTACACTCCAACAGTGCCACCTTGTGCCTGTGTGGCAGTTCAGACAAGAACAACTGCAGTTCCACTTCTTTCTCTTGATTATCAGGCGTTTACGGGTATTTTTAAATGGCAGTAAAACCTGTGATCCAAAGGCCATGCACTCAGTCTCTGAACTTCAAAACGGCCCTCAGGGAAGTTCAGAGCTTTGCTTCCCGTCCTTTCCCCGGCCTGCAATGGTCTTGCTTCATCCAGATTCACTAAGGAGAACGATTCAAATATCCAGTCTTGTGCAACCCACATTTCACACGATTTTAAGGGATTAAATATTCAAATTCTCTCCCATAAATAAAGAAGCTCTGGAATAATTTGATATAGAGAAACACAGTTCATTAAAACAGTTTAAAACTTATTTCTGCAAGTCTTGAACAGCCATCTCAGTGCATTAGACTCATAACCAGGTCTGAGTTCAAAACTTTCTCCATTTCTGCTTTGCCATTCAGTGTTAGGGCAGCATCAGACAGACCACCTGCACCTTCACATAAAGCACACAAGTACTCTTACTTAAGCAAATTACTCTGTGCATTCTGGAAATGGAAGTAATGCTCTCTTTTAATGCAGTATCATAGTCAATGTGAATTTACAATCTGAAAGTCTTAGATCACTAAATGCTACGTGCATAAAGGACAGGACAGATATTTTCCCCATGGACTGTTTTTCCTCTATTAGTGCATCAACTGGTGTCCAGCAAGAGATGAGCTGGGACTATGACATTTGCTTCACCTAGTATATCAAAAATGTATTATATTCCAGTAATTTTTTCTCATGACAGTAAAGCCCAAACGAGATTTGAACAAGCACTGGGAAAAGAAACAAAAATCAAGTATGGTGCCATCAAATTCTTGTTCAGTACAAAATTTGAATATAATACAGTCTCCTCAGTACTGAAAACTAAATTTCTCAAGAATAATTCAGTGCCACAGAGGCAGCATTAAACCATTCTTTTAAATGAGCTTTCGTCTGCTTCTCCTTTCAATATCTATTTTAAGATTACAAAGACATACGCTCTCTGTACAGTGTATCAAGGGTAACAGCTACTTCCTAAGCTGTCTTGGCTTTTGCCCTCTGTCACAGACCTGTAGTAAAACACATACGTGTGACAGAAAAACTTGTCTTCTTTTAATATTTCAGGTAAGGGGCTAGCTATGCCCAGCCTGGCTTAGCGCGATAACCGCGGGGAGCATCAGCACGCAGCAAGCAGGCAGCACAGACAGTCTGCAGAGGCACCAAACAGACACCTCTGGGCACAGAAGTAAAGCAAGGCAAAGAGAGATCCTACTGGCCTAGGGCAACAGAGGACGCACATCTAGCTGGCAGGCATGACAGTCTTGGCAGGTCTCAGTGTGTCTTTTAACCCCACGTGTGAAGGGTGGGGTGGACTAGATGACCTCTGGAGGCCCCTTCCAACCTTAAGCGTTCTATGTCATTTCCTGTATGTAAGATGAAAAAGAAATAGCAAAGAAATGGTCATAAAACCAAAATGACTTCATGCTCGACTTTATTTCTAGGGGCAGTCAGTTTCACCATTTTGGAAAAAAAAAGTAAAATAAAACCTTATTAAAGGTAACCTTATTAAAAGGTAAAGGCAAGAAAAGAAATAATAACTTTTATGCATTCCCACTTCATGCGTTTTCTGGTTACCTAAGGAAAAAAGGCCTCTGTAGATGCGTGTAGCCCTTCCCTCCCACGTTCAGAACCCTCCGCGCAGCCGCAGTCCCGGTTAGCAGAGGGGCTGGAGGCCAGAAAGCTCCCGGTTTCCAGCGCGCCGGCGGGAACGTGGCCGCAGGCGCTAATGCCCCGCGAGGGGAAGGCGAGAGGCGGTCGCAGTCGCGGCCGCAGCTGCACACACACACACGTGTCCAGCCCCGGCCCCGTGCACGGCTCTGCCCAGGCCGCAGGTCACGCCGGGAGCCTGGGAAGTGAGGGGGTGGGAAGGAGGGGAGAAGGGAGGCTCAGGAGGGATCGCGGGGTGCTCTGGAGAGGCAGAACAGACGGAACAGACAGGCTTGGGAGGCGCTGGGACGCATAGCAAAACTCAGCCGGAAAGCAGATTTCACTGTTTTTGTTCCTTCTGGAACAAGCTGTTACTTAAGAAAGGACACCGAATATTCCACTCTGGGCTGGGAGATTGTATTTAGTTTAAGAGAATGAGTATCGGCCTCCCCCATCGCATGCCGATATGCACCACGTTTCATCTGGGTGTCCACAACGCCTACACGGCTACAGAACATTTTGCTCCTTCGCGGCAGCTGCATCAGCAAAACTAGCCCGATAGTATCACACGTTACGGCATCTTCTCTTGCACACACAGCTCCGCTACACAACACTAATGTCATTGGCTTCCCATTGAAGGGCCTTGGCTATTGTTTACCCATGGAAAAACTTTCCTTTGCTTTTCACAAGTAATATAAAGAGCAAAGAGGCAGAAATATCCTTGGAAATGCATCAAATGTCATAACCACGCACTTTAAGGGAAATCTAAACTGCCCTTAGTTCTCCTAAAGGGCAAATTCCCTCATCAAACAACTTATGCTGAAACTGCAGGGTCAAATAAGTGTTGGCTTCCTTGATGGCTTTGGCAGAGGGGTGTTGTGTAATGTGAAAACAGCAACAACCGAGAGGATGGATGCCGTGAGGCGCTCGGCCCTCGGCCTTCCTACGAGCATCCATTTATCCACACGCTTACTCTTAAGGAAACCTTCTCCTTGGATTGAAACTTTTCAGTGCTGGAACGGATGGAGGCAGAATGTGGGGCACGTTGTGAGCCCCTTGGCATCCACCCTGCTGCCCTTCCCTCCGGAGAAACGTCGCTGCTCTTCCCTCTGAACCAAGCAAACCAAACTGAGGGCTCTCCAACTGCCGGAGGGGAATCCTTCTTCCCTCAAAGCCTGGGCTGCTTCTAAACCAAAAGCTATCCTGATTATACTCATAACCCCTTCCAACTAAAAGGTTATACCTACATTTTATTTTTTTTATCCTGATGGGAAAAGCAAACAGAAAGTTAACAGTGAATCCAAATTATCTTCTAGCTCTATGAACATGTATATTCTCTGTGACCAAGACAGACTGCATCGCCATATGTTTTTTGATAGCCAGTTTCTACCTACTCCCTTAGAAGTATATGCAAGGGACGGAGGGTGGTAAGAAGGGGTATTGGAATAGTGGTCAAATATGTACAATATTCCTGTGCAAGGATACTGATCAGTTGCTCTCTGTTTTGAACAAAGGATGAGACACAGAAATTACTCTCTCAGTTCACACAGACCCACTTCAGGGTTGCTATAAAGAAGCACTTCCTAACTATCAGGTTAGGATAAGATACCTCTGTAGGCAGAGGAAAGAGCTCTGTTGAAGGGTGTTGATAAAAGGCTACACAAGCCTCAGTCAGACAGCTCTGCGTACTCTGTCCTCCCTCAGAATCAAGGGGAGCACCTTCCTAAAGCACCTCCTGTGCTCCCAATTTTCTGGGTTTGTGTATTTACACCACAACAAGCCATTCGGACTTCTCCCAACTTGCTAAGCACCCAACCTTAACAACCAGAGACATAACCAGAAATCACTGAGGCAGCATTAGAAGAGGGGATGAGCCCTTGCACTTGTGTAACACTTGGTTGCACTGCTTGGTTGATACAGAATGGTCAGCTGTGTTTCATTTATCAGTCTGCTGAAATCCCCATGATGTTTCCCTCAGACAGAGGATGTTGCTGCCAAACAGAGGCAGTAGTCTTAGCTGAAAAAAAAAAAAAAGAAAGAAAGAAAAAAGAAAAAGCAAAAAAAAAGAAAAAAGGGAAGGGAAG